GAGTTTGTATATTAGAATTCAGAATGTGCTTCTTTAAAAGTCGATCATGTTAACTTAGCATATTTATATAAGATGTGATTTTAATCTCATCATATTTCCAATAATGCCTTTATTTTATCTGATAAACTAAAAGATTTCTAATAGAGATACATCCTAAATTACTTCCGAGCCATTGTTATGTAATACACATAGATCGAAGGGGTTGGAAAGTAGGTGGGATCGAAATACACCAAGAGGGTGGACATTATAGTAAAATAAGGACTTGTATATTTTCTCATGTGTGTTCGTCTAAAATTGTTCCAAAGATATAAATATACATATTGGAAATATGATATATTAAGCGTAAAACTTAATGGTCACTGTTTCGCTCTGTTACATTTTATGAAGTGTCCTCGTCAAGTCCTCGCCATAACCTGCCCCACCCCCTCCCTGTCTTCTAGCTTTATGAACTCTGCCATTGATCTGTTACGTGTGGGGTATATTTTGCTCACGTCACTTATCAATTACGTTGCTAATTGATAAGCACGTGATTTAATTACAATATTTAAAACAACCGAGTGCAGTAAGCTGTTTACATAATTCATGATTTATTGGTATCCTTGTATAATAGATATCTACGTATTTCTATTGAATATCAAAGACATTCCAAGGAGGTCTCTCCTACTGCAAAGATTGGATGTCTCTGGCCACATGGAGTTGAGAATTCATATATCAAAATATGTGTGTAGGTTTTTTTTTTTTAATTCATAAGCTATATTCAGACATGCAAGGTAGTACCCTTGTTGATGGGAGATTTGTACACTCCGTTAACACTTACCAAAGACTCCAAATACAAAATGTGAAATATGTCTCTGAGTCTCTGTCTGAAGACAGGCTATATCTTCTTTTTTTCTCAAGATTGACTGCACAATTTATCAAATAGAGGAAATTGTTTGAGAAAACATATAAGTATTGAAGTGCATTTATCGTTGTATGAATGCCAACTGTATAATATGCTTCGTTGAAATTGCTTTACCTTGAATTCATTTTGTCTATGAATACCAAGTGAAAGGAGAACACCGTTCCGTTTTTTAAGATATGAACTCTATTAATTTTTTAACAGTTTATAAACAAGCGAAGTTCCAGCTCATATTAAATAACTTGTGTTGGCCCGATCAGAAGCGCACGAGAGGCCTTACTTTGTGGGGAAATACCGTAATACTAATGTAAAATATATGTGGTCGGGCAGTTGACCGGTCCCATATCTTTTTTCACACCGCTCGAAGGAATCAAACCCTGAAAGTCTTGCGTTGCCAATGTACTACCTAATCATCATCTATGTTTTCCGGGACGTTTCTTTCGGAGGATGGTTAAAGGACACTTGATGTCGAAACTATATTTGACTAAGACATATCACTAAAATAAACTTCATTTATATGAAATTGCCTCTGATCAGGGACCATGGACTTGGATATACGTCCGTTTAGACGTATACTTATAATAAAAGATATAGCTATCCCATGCTATGGTAGACAAAACTAGTCATGCTAGTCGGGGAGATGAGATGTGTTCAATGACTTGAGCGGACGTGTGTTGGATTTATTTGTTTTTATATAAATTAAGATCTAACTCCATAAAAGAACTACAAATCATACCACAACAGATGTATTTGTGATGCTTGGCGATAAATGGTGTTTTTGTAAGCAGGGGCCGTAACTCTGATATACAAAGGGTTTATACTTTGTGTAGAATACAGGTGTGAAGTGTTCTGTATGATTTTGTTGATCACACCGTCTACCTGTCACTCGTTTACGTAATTGACTGTATAGTAACCATCGCGACAGGTATTTGTCCTGCAATTAGTGGCGCGTATGTGATGACGTAATTGATTGCTGTGTTTACGTAACACAACAGGTAAATTACACCTGGAATCTTCGACATTGTGCGATTGATATGTCTGCATATTCAAATATCAGCTTGGTAATACAGCCAGTCACTCATAAATGATCAAGTTTGAAAAGCAATTGTTCTATTAATGATCAGCACATGTACACGGGTAAGCCACCATTTTGTAATAGCCCTCTTAATTAATATAGTTAATATCTATATGGCAGAAAGGAGACACAGCTCCGTGCTGGCGGGTTTTGTTTCCTTTTCTATTTACAGCACCACCGAATACAAACTATTTACTGAAAAATACCAAATCAATAAAAGCACACGACTGGCCTCTCGACTTTGTCCATCTTCCTGGGCTTCGATTTCAAATATTGGGTCATAATTATTCTCTGTCCACATTGACTTGTGGTATAGTATTCTCAGCAGTCAATGTATAAAGTCACATAAAAATTGTAATAATGGTAATCTGTGTCAAGTCCCTGTGCGCCTAGCAAATACTTAAATATCATCTCGAGCATATTTCTGTCAACGATACAAAATGCTCACATTAAAACCTCTCTCGTAAGTCATGATAAGTTACTCGCTACCTGTGGGTCGTTATTACACGTTTGGGTCTAGAGGTGAAACTGACGTGTCTATGTCAAGTAAAAAAAGTATTTCTTTTGATGTCGGTGATTAAAGGTGTAAAATTCAGCTCCGTGAAACTGTCCGTTATTAAAGGTTGAGTGGAGTACGGCTTTTCTTCTGTCAATCACTACCTTGACTTTTATTGCATTTTCAAACCTGGTTTGTATAATGAGAGAGAAAAGTGTTAGTGTATCATAAAAAGACATAAACTATCGAAAACTCGGATACAAAACTGATTCGCAGGTAACATACCGCCGGGTGATGAATCTTTAGCTTTGTTTGTGATTGTTGTTTTGTTTATTTATTTCTGGTATGACTAGTGCTGCCACATAGCGAACAATTGTTACATGTAAGTAGATTTGATTCACAGCAAAGACAGTATATATTAACATTGGAACTGATTGTTTGGTGTTTACCTTTATATCAGAGGACCTGGGTTCGATTGCCCGATCGGACGTGAAAAGGTTGGGTTAACTTTCTTGACCGCTTTAGTTTTGGGCGAAAAATCCAATTTCCCACCGTACTAGTGTCATGTGGACCAACAAAGATCTTTGTGAACAGTTTGGGACATTTTGATGCAGGGTCTCCTTGTATATGTTGGTGGCTACGTCACTGAACAGCATACGGGATCCTCGCCGCATGCTATTCAATGTCATGGGTAGTGTCTAGCCCAAGCGCACCACCAAGGAGTTGGATACGTGACGGAAAGGAAAGAATGTGTCACCGGCCGTGTTAGTTTTCATATGTAACGAGGACGCCTAATACTACAGTGGCTGAAATCTTAATTCAATTCTGTTAATTACGTGGAGTAAAACAATTCTGACGTATTTCAGAGGGCCTCTCACTGTACAGATGCCTTACACACCGACATGGTTTACTCAGTACGAGCGACTCCTGTCATTCCGAGGTCCTTACCTGGCAGACGACAGGAGTGTATATGTCTGTCCCTACCTATATACTGTTGGTGTAAACTTATCAATCCAACTAACTGATAACCTCACATACCTGTACACAATTATACAAAATATGACGAGATGAGGCACACAACACTTTTTAATTAAGATACCAACTCAGACATAACACAAGATAAGATATCCGGATCAGATAGCGGGTCTGGTTCCCACGACAAATATTAGAATCGCCTCCGAAATATATGCTTACTGTTTGATAATTATTAGTATTATGGTAGAGAGGCGTAGCAGTGAAAACAAAGATTGTATTGTTTACATTTGTCAGACAGACCTGTAAATTTCGAGCTTATGTAACAAGAATTTAAGACTCTTTTCTCTCTTAATGATACCAGATGAAAAAGCTAGGCAAGATTTTATCGAAATGGTTTGTCATTACAAATGGAATGTTTGTAATTAAAACGTGCAGCTGAATTTTGACATTTTGAGACGAAATTGACACATCCTTCAATTATGTATGAATTCTTCTAATTGCCACTTGTGTAACTAATTAAGACATACAGCAGACATTATCATTTTCTATGGTAAAATAGTTTTAAATTTGTCGTTGATAGTGTGGAGAAATAATTCATATAATTATTTTAATGTGAGTTCATTTCATCACTTAAAACGGCCGTAAGAACCCGTTTTGTTATTTTGAAAGTATTTGTACCTAAACTGGAACAGAGACTTATTTCTAGGCCTCTGAGTGGAGACATGAAAGAATATGGATCTGTTAAAAGTCGCGGACAAGAAAAAAAGTCCACGATGAAAATATATAAATAAAAATATATTACATAAATTTATATATACATATTTCTTTTAACAAACATTCATCACTGTGACAATGAAAACAATTCTAATCAAAGTAATTGAAATATTATTGAGACATAAGCCTGTTAACGACGAATATTGTATAGCTGTCTAAATTTGCAGCGTCGTTTTTATTTGCTTGAACAGTTTGACGATAGTCCCCCATTCCGACAGAGCACACGGGCGAGCCAGTCCGGATTGGCTCAGAGTTTAGTGTGTACAAACTAAGTTATCTCCCCCACATGGCAATGGACCGTACCACGATTGGCGTGTGTAGTATATGGACAGACTAACGGTATGGGCTATACGGAACAACGACAAATGGATTTACCTAGGTTGTGACGAGAAAAATCGACAAAAAGTTGGAAATACGTCGGCCATAGCATCGTTGTGCATCACAAGAGTTTTCGATTATTTATGTGAAATATATATATACCTGCACAACAAGTGTAGCGGACTGAGGCTTTTCGCTGATCGGATAAGATGTCTCGCCGCTTTTTAGTGTTAAAGGGGTAGTGGTGTGATTGTGAGCGCCGAGTGTTATTGGCAAACCCCTATTTATAGTGTATCAACATATCGGTAACTTACTCATACACGAAGCAGTGGATTAGTACACTCCAATTTAAGTGAATGATTACGATGTAGTGCAATTACAATATCAATATGGATTAATATTTTAGAAAAATACTACATATTTTTGTGATATTTATATTTTTTCGATTTCACAAAAAAGTCACGATGAAACCTAAAGGATATTTAAATTTCAACATGGATATTTCGTTTTGGATGTATTGTGTTTTTATACTTATAAGTTCTATAGAATGTGTGTATGGAGCTTGTCCCGAGAAATGTATTTGTGAAGGGAAAACGGTCAATTGTGCATTTAGAGGATTTAATAATGTTCCACAGGATATGCCAAAACAGACACATAAAATGTAAGTATTTCTCAAAACCGATATAAATATTTCTATATTTTTTAAAGCCTTAATATTCCTTTAATATATCTATGAAAACATATCATCAAATATTGAGCATCTGTATGTATTTAAACAGCCTGATATTTATCCTTCAACCCGTGAAGTTAAATTTGAAATAACAAACGCATTTCAGATCTCATTTATGTGTTTTTATACAGGCGTTATATTAGCACGTATAATATAAACCCATCGATACATTCCTGGCGTGAATCTATGTTCAGGTGAAGTGAAATAAATTCTATTTCTTTGGCAAATTCTATTTGAAAGTGTAGATAAAAAATCCTAATGTTCCAATTAAATTTTACAGGTAAACACCGAGAAAAGATTCTCGGCAAGACTCAATACACCAAGACTAATGACTGAATGTTTTTTGCATCGTCTATCTGGTAGTAATGACTCAAAATATATCACTGTTTTCCCTATTTGTGTATTTCCTGACAATACTGTCTCCGGAGTCAGACGTGTTATGTGTCGTTTTTACAGATTTGATGGCTTTAACTAGTATCCTTCCCGTTATACGTACATTCCACTGTTTTTATCTGGTGTCGTCTTGACACGAAAATGTATTCCGTGAAGTATTGTCAAACTTGTCACAGAAACGAGTAGATTGGTCCTCGTCAGAAACTCGCTCTATCACAAAGGCAATCAATTTCGCAATGTACAAATCAAATTAATATTGTTTACAAGATATCTGCCATAAAAAAAAGATCAATTTAACAACGAGCAGATGAAATAAACATCATAAAGAGTGTACGTGGTTTCTCTCACATAAACAAATCAATTTAACAACAGACATGAAATAAACAATGCGGTTGTTCCCCTCTCAGAATCATAAAAAAATGCAGAAACTGACAAATAAAACAAACATCGTTATAGTGTTGAAATGACACCATGTAGTTTCTTTCACAGAAGTGGCAAAACGGTTGAAAATGAGACTTGGTTATGTTTAAAAGGTTATAAATCATTTGTCAACTTTCTTTCTTTATTTCTTTCCTTTACTTTACATGTATGCAAATGTAATTGTGTGAGAATTTGCATTCGTTTTTTAAAAACAATAATTCTTGTTTGTATAAATTTGAAGAGTATTGTCACAAAACCGAACAAGTTGTCCCGAAATTTTAAATCTCAAATTTCTCCAAGGCAGGTTTATGACATTACTGTTACATAACTGATACTACCATTAAATGTGACTAAAACAGAATGTTGATAGAGACTCTCTATTTGATTTACAATACGTCCCCCGGACGCTGAAAATGACATCACAATATTTTAAACGACTTTTTTTATATACCCCCTCCAGATATAACAAAATGTCGATCAGTTATTGAAATATCTAACAACAGTTCGATCTTATCTACCGATCATCATTATCTGTATCCTACAGGAAAATAAAACCAGAACTATCCTATTCAAACTTTCATTACAAATATATCTTATTTGTAAAGGAGAGGTCCGGTACTTGCTGACATATTGAACAGTACAAAAGAATATTCAAAGGAATTTGAAATGTATTCCACATATATCATTGTCTGAAATTAGATCTATGGAAATTCATCAATGATTTCATTTCAGTTATCATTTATTTTCAAAACAGCTAAAGTGAATCTTTCATTCACAATTATCAATATTATTTCAGCATACCGTTTTCATGAAACGGACACTGTCATTCATTTCATAAAAGTTTGATAAATATATCCGTATATGCGTTTAATAGACCCCAATTAAGTGCCGCTAGTGAATAACACCTATATTTATCACACCTATGATACAGGTAACACAAAGGTAACACTACACCTAGAACTTTTTTATCAGTATATAATTGTATATAATAGATGTTCAGGTAATGAGACCACCTTCACTTTTAAACTACAAATGTATAACTTTTAACCAGGTCAAACGAGCCCACGACATTCTTAAGGTAAGTATTTGAGATATGATTAATTTTATGACAAATTATTTCACAATAACTGCCGAAAGCAGTACGAGTTCACTAAGGACGTACCTAAATCACTGATGCCTTCCGATTATAACCGTACACATAATAAAGTATATAAATTAACTTACCACTTTATCTGATAACTTAGCAATTCCTACGTTACGAATTAAGATATCAAACCAGTTATACTTTGTCAAATACATAAGAGTACAGACGATGCACGTGCAAATCCCAAAATAATGCTTTAAAAGTCAAAAGCCTTCGCGATCATAAAGTGCCTTGTGTTAGAATAGCGTCACACATACATGTACGTATGTCTATATTTCGCTGAAAGTATGTAAATACCCGCAAGATATATGTCACTAAAGTTCTACGTCACCGATAATTAACCCAGCTTTTAAGAAGAGCACAGCACGTGCGACGTTTCAGGGCAGATAAGATGTGAGCCAAGGCGAGACACAAAGTGTTCGTTATCATCCGTCTCCGCAGCCTTTCTCTCACCCGTAGCAAGTTTGTCAAACCTCATGTTTTTATCCTAAAAACCAGCAACAAAATACATTTATTTGTACGGTACAGAAAGTGATGGTAATTTTAAATGCTGGTTGTACTACATATAACACTCAATGAAAGAAAAACTGAATCAGAAGTGAACAATAAGTGTCACTTTCAGTTGAAAATGAAGAAAAATTTAGAGTATGAATATATGTAAAACTTTGAAACAGCTGCCGAAGACTCCTGAATTATAAACCCGTACATCTAGATGTCTATATTGTATACTTGTAGATGTGTTTTTATTATAATAATGTAGATAATGCGGTATACATTAACGTGCTCAGAATCAAATGTGGTATTACAAATGTCTCGACATGCGATATCTACTTGACCATCAATCAAAGCACTTTCAAAACATGGAGTGAAACATTTGGACGTTGAGGGTTCTTAACATAAGGATTGTGTTTTTCTCGCCCCTCCCCTCCCCCTTCCCGAGTACGGTTCGCTACCGGTACAGTCCAATATCACCCCGACCCCAGAAAACTCTCCCTACTACAGATAAGCCCCGCATGGACATCTCATCTCCTGTACACTGTAAACAAAATAGTTTTACAGACAAACTCAGTAGTATAAAACGTATGTGCACGTGCTTGTGCGTATGAATGTGCGCAAAGACGACGAGCTGCCTATCATTTAGCTTCACCCATAGTTAAAAAAAAATATATAGGTAAAAGTATGTCGCACCGTTGATAAAAAAACTCGAGTGGTTTTATTACAAGTTTTGGGGAAATGCACATGCTAAAGAAAATCACGTGACCTCTAAATAATTTGTTTGGGAAGGTATCAAAATGAATACAGATATATACCCGTCCGCGGCTGAAATGATTGGTGATAGTGCCGATAACCAAGAAGCTCTATATTTTTCGTTTCACGTGACGTGCATAAGATACCATAGGTTCTCTCACATATTGTAGGGATTTATTTAGAGTTTGTAGTAATTTATAAAACCACTGGCAGATTCATTATTAAATCACATAGATATCTATACAAAAATGAGGCCGCGTCTTATATTTTGAATTATATGTCTAAAGACGAATGCACGTGAATGCACGTGAGAAACATAAAACAGGAGTTATGATTCAGGGTAGGTCTGTATGTATGTACACTAGGACTGACAGACGGCAGACCTACTCCGACTAATTGTTGATCTGCTTGCAGACATATTAACTACATCTTATTTGTCTGAGCTTACTTTCCTCAGACAAAATTGGCTTTTGTAGCCAGAATAAACGTCATTTGGACTCTTTTGTAGATATGTACAATGACCTATACAAGATTAGATGTAAAAAAGAATAGCTAGGTATTGAGCAAAAACTAGAATAATGAAAGACGATGAGGCTTTGTAGGATATTGCGAGCTGGCGAGGACAACAAGCCCGTCCTTCTTAGAGGCATACAATTAGTTTTTATTATCAAACATTCATTTTCGTGTGTTTGGGTAAAAAGTAGAAATGTAAACATGAAGAAAAGAGAAATTGAAAAAAAAAGAGTCCTTTCCCGAATGCCACTTTCAACTACCTACCACTATGTTGATGTGAAAGTTCGAACACTCACTGTGGGATTGTTTATTGTATTCATGCTTTACATTTTTCGTTTCAGAGATTTACAGGGCAACAATATTACAATCATCAGAAGAAGGGACTTTGAGGGTTATCGGCAACTTCGTAATTTGTAAGTATATCAAGATTCAATATGTTAGAAATATCAAAATATATAAGTTGACTGGGTACCCAAATGTGTAAAAACACACTCATCCGTACTTATGTAATCACTGAAAGACATACATTTCTGTGGTGGAGTAATCACAATGTTTTGACATGAAGTTTTGCCAACCACAGATTAAGCTGTAAATAGGAATTATAAAAAAATAAAAGAAAATAACAACATATATTTTTATCAATATATATATATAAGTGTACTCTTGGTTCTTTGATGTGCTAATTGATCCGTAGTCTTTCTCGAAAGGGACGACATGGGAGGGGGAGACGGATTATTAGAATCCCCGTCTACAACTATAGACGTGAAGCGAGCGACACGCTAAGTAGATTTCACGGTGTTTAAACCTAGTAGTTAACCAACGTAAAAACAGATGTCCTGCATCAGCCTGAAGTAAGTGCTCTGCATACCGAGGGAGCAGAGAGTTCTGTTTTCCACATTCTCTTAGATCGAGGTTCTCATGTGAAAGAGATGCCGTAGCAGACCTCTGTCTGTTAGTGTGTATACAGACAATGTCGTCCTATGTTGTAAAAGTCATCGTAATTGTCGTTAGGACGATGATAACGGCTGCCGGGAATGCACGTGTGTTATAGGTTGAACACGTTTTCTTCTTTTTATTAGTGTTTCAGTGTCTGTGAAGAGCAGAATTAGGTTCTGTGTGGACAAAAAGGTGAAACACAAAAAGACAATCCAATGTGTGATCATTGTTTGTGTTTTTTTGTTGGATTCCACATACAGTGTTTACTATTGGGAAACATATTTTGACACTGAAGAGTGGGTCGATAATCACACAACACATGCTTTGTGGGGAATAGCATGACGCGCCACCTGGTGGTGTATGATCTAGCTAGGTTAAAGTTGAATCGCGCTCAACCAGAAGCTTCGGAAGTTTAAACTACCATTTATGGATATTCCTAACTGATTGACATTAACAATAAGAAAAATAACTATGAATAAATTACCAGACCGTTAACAAAATTTTAATCAAAAATCAAAATCGATAACGCTAAGCCAAAATATGATCAAAGGAAAGATGAGACTTTTGAAAAAGTTACTATAATAAGACTCGGTTGTTCCGCTAGGCAGCAACTGTCTGGCCAATACGTAAAGAGTCCAAGTAGTAGCACATTCTCAAAATGAAAAAAAAACCTGGTAAATCATGTCCACTGATAAACACTGGACATTTGCTAAAGTAAACACGTCTATCTTGACATCGTGCAAGAAAATACATTTTTGTCCATTGAGATCATGATGGCAACCATTGAACCACCCCCTCCCCCCCCCCTACTCAAAAAAAAGACTACATGAAGAACTGCGGCGATATCCAGACCCATGGAGACGTATCTAGTACAGTTTAAACAAACAGATCCCTCGATACAGTACTTATGTTCGATTTAATACAAATCAACATGAGAGTTAGTCTTTCCAATAGCCATTTCGGTGTTCAAACAAAAAACCCTCAACGAAATCCCCTCTATTCAGTATCCGTGGGTTATCTCAGGCAATATCCGTGCTTATTTGACGGTTATAAGTATTTAGCAAACTTTGCATACAATTTAAATCTGTAATATACCCGAGAAATATTGCAATTTCGTTGGCGTTCTTCTCACGTGAACAAAGAGTGTGGCTATCATAAACACCGGAATGGGTAGTCGAAGGCTTAAGTACCCGATAAATGTAATCCTGTCTGCAAATATGAAACAATTCTGCACCCGCTTGTAATACGTTTGGTCATTGTTTCCGCCCGAGTGTAACTTTCAAACGCGAGAAACAATCAGTGGAGTTTAGCCATTATCAGAAATGGTGTCTGACTTTCTTGATTCAAAGTGGTTGGTTAGCTCATTTACCCAGAAGTAATCCAAAACACGACAGTGTTAAACTTTCTTAAAGTGGCACATTCTTAAAACTCACGCGGAAGTTGTATTAAGAAATATATTGATATAATGAATATCTAACAATAAATAGTGTGAGAAGTGATATTTCACCCGAATTTCGCATTTTCTAAAATTCTTTTTTTTTCTTGAACTAACCATACGTCGTATACCTAAAAGTTCCCACCCATATGAAATGTTGACATTTTGTCTTAGACATGGCGATCGATATTCGGCCCAATATTGGTGACGTAATAAATAATTAAAGGCACATGAGTGTTTACTCATAGAGATTTTTGTGTGAATATACCCAAACAAAGACATTCGTGTAGACCCGTGTAAAAACCCCTTCATCGTAAATAAACATCACATTAATCTGCTAGGACATTGCTGTCCTTGAAATTATCGGAATTCATGGCTTACAACACTCACTTCAATCTCAATGGAGAAAGATATTTTTAGATTTTGTTTACATGATAACAGCTTATTTCATGAAATTCACTTTTGTGTATTTTTATATAATTTTCCTCTGCTTTCCAAATAAGAATTGCTCTTATGATCAAGAATCCAATTCCCCTAAATGCCCGTTTTTCATCATGAGGTATGGTTTTCTGTATAACCAAGTTTCCCCTATAGGTTATGATTCAGCATTTTTTTTAAATGCAAGCGCCTTCGTTCGATCTATAACTGTTTCTTTATTGTCAGATTTGATCAAAGCAAATCACAAATATCCTTTATATATTTTAGTATTAAACTGATAAGCAACCGCGCCCAGACCATTTTAAACTTTTTTAAAATCTCATATATCAAGTTCCCGCCCTTACTCTATTCAGATAAATAGAAGTTCGGCTAATTGTTTATAAATTTGATAACTTTAACCCCAATCTTGAGCTGATATCGTTATCAAAGATTTCGATTAAATTAATACCATTAAAACTCGAAATTGAAACTAATTTTTTAAGAATTTCTTTTATGTCGATATTCTCAATTTAGAATTCGAAATTTGGCCGAAAACTTGAATTTCTAACCTTGAACCTTTGTTTGTAATCGTGCAACTAATATATAGTTTGTGATTAATACCTGGCATCAATCAAGGGTACGTGCTTCAGAGTTACCTTTTTAACCTCGCCTAGAGACTCGGCTAATCTCGGTCTGGATTTATAATTCTGGTGCCATTAGTATGAAATTCAAGCTAGATCGACACTAAACAAGCGGAAAATTTCGTAAATCTAATACATGAATTGTATAAAAACGCGATGTAACAACTTGGAGTTCACGCCGTGTAATCTGATCTGCGTAAAAATGGACAATTGTATGGTCTCGTATACATTTCACAATATGAAACTGATACGAAGAGAAGTTGTCAAATGTTTTGTACTTGTGTTCTTCTACATCATATTAACGTCAAATTATATCATGAATTACAATTTTGTGATTGAAGTTTCTTAACAGACGATATGGGTAGTTGAATGACATTTTCCACATGTCTCTCAATCCCTTCTCCTCACCCTTTCCAACTCGGTGTATACCACAATTGTCGGGTTACTCTCATTTTTGTCATGATATAGGGGCAGTATTGATGGTGTATGTGAACCTGGAGTACTCAGAAAAACTAGTTTATAATAAGTTTCTAAGCGATGTAATGCCCTCTCAGATCATATCTACGCATGCCCGCAGGTACGCGACTTTACCTTACTTTTGGCGTCCGCCAACGAAAACCGATATGTCTAGAACAGTTAATTCATGAAATGTTTACTCATGTGTATGAGAAAACAAAAAAAATCCTGATCAAGATTTGCGGAGCCGTTAAAAACAAGGAAAAATGAAATGAAAAACGATAATGTATAAACGTTACGTTCGTTGTTCGGTCGCTTAATTTCAAAATAAGATAATAAAAAATGAGTAACACTCCATTTTCAAGAAACAAAGCGACGAGTGTCACCAAATCTTAATTCAAGATTAATTTTCATTTAATATTTTTGTGTTATGTCCATCAGCGTGCTACAAATCGGAGATATTTTGAATTTCAACTTGTCCTTTCACTTCACTCTTGATTTTCTTCCCATTATTTTAAACGTGTATCATGTTGACAAATATACAATCTATGTAAATTGAGATTATTCATGAATAAGAAGTTCTAGTAAGTATTATAACAATAAACAACATTTCAGTAAGTAAATGAAGATTCCACTGATCACAAAGACAATAGTTACTTACGAGAACTGTAAGACATGAACTTATCTACGAACATCTACACTTAGTTGTAATAATTGTATTGTTCCAATTACAACTACCGCCCTGTAAAACAATCGACGATTGTTTAACTGATAATTCCGATGACGTAATTTTCGGAATGAAGAGGATACCAGGACATGTAACTTATAATTTAAAAACCGGACTGGGACTTAAACAAAACAAAACGAACTTCCGGAAAAGTGATAACGATCGTGTCCGTGAATGCATGTTTTCTGTATCAATGATTTCTTTTCAACTTTGCGTGAAGTTCGTATCGCTAAACCAAGAATCAGGATAAGCGCTTAAATAGCCTTCCAGGTGCAAAACCACTAAGTTATATCCAAACTCAAAGGGTTCACAAATTTGTTTTACAACCAACTTTTTGATTTCGTGAAATTCGAAACGACATGCGTAACAGTATTTGTGTTTTATCTGTTCCTCCACTCTGTTTGTGGGGAAAATCTTTCCAAAATCTAATCAAGCTTTTTAAAAGTATTGTGCAGTAAAATTGTTGCTACCGAATGCTTGGCAAAATTATCAATTCAAAAAGGCATGTAAGAAAAAAGTTGAGTCCCCAGTTTAATTGAGAAAGAAAAATATGTATTATCATTTATTCAATTATTGTTTTGCGTGGAACATTAGTGTACAACATATTAATACATTTATCTTATTTCGGAAATCGTCGCTACGTGAAGCTAACAGGTCTTCTGAATACTCAAACGTGATAAACAGAGTTCATTAGAAATTAGACACGTGTTAAAAAACGTCTTTAGGCGTTGTGAATGGTTTCGTTGAAAAGGGTTGACCCGCCACCCAAGGCGAATATTACCTTGTAATCAGTGACATTCCGAGTGGATCCAATTACCTTCGGATTGTCTCTGTTTATTACCTTAATACTTCATCTATCGTTTTGTCCTCTTTTGTAAGATTGATATCTTTTCAATGTTTAAAGTGTTTGTTTAAACGACAGCAGTTCCTTATATGGTTACGTCCCACTGCAAGCATTAGTTTCTAATTATTGTCCCATAAAGGTTAATATTACCATCCACGGACTTTTAAAGTCTTCGATATTACGCCCAAACGGAATACATGTATACTCTTCACGTAAGAAATAATAATAAAAATCTGTCTTTTATTTTTATCCTTTTCAGCGTGATATATGTATCTATATATTTTGTGTTTACAGATTATTGCTGGAAAATCAAATTCACACAATAGAAAGGGGATCGTTCGAGGATCTTACAGAAATGGAACGATTGTAAGTATAAAATAGTCAGGAAATTGGTTTAAGACCAGCTGTCCTGAATAGGAAGGGCAGAAACTGTACCCTAGTAGCAATCAGGTTTCAACTGCACCTGAAGTATTGCACTTTTATAGTACGCCGGTCTAATTCTACATATCATAACAGCTCTAAGTGTGTAAACGCCCGTCTAACACTACACCTATAAGACGGGCAAAGTGATATATGGTTTTATTCAAGATTATCGCCGATTCGGGATATTTGAAATATGAGTAAAGAAAAATTGCTCCTTGTGTAAAATGTTATATTTTTGGCAAATGCATTCGTCACTTCCTTTCGCTAATGATATGCTTTGCTTTTCGTTGTAAAGTTATAAGTTGAATATATTTAGCGTGTTGTTTGTACCGCGGTATGGTATCAACATAAGAAAGATTCGGTCAAATAGTTTGAACACATCAATGATTATTATTGTTTTGCTGGTCTGGCATTCGAGCACAATATCATGTGACACCATCATGCATCCCAAACCCCACGTCGTCTGAAAAGTATTGTTCAATGACCACAAAACATTAATAGTAATATCAGTAAGTTCTATTTATACAAAAAAGGCAAATCTTTGCGATGAAGCATACTGTGACATTGTGATAGTTTCTCGTGCCATTCCGATAAATAAGCGCGTGACGCAGTAGTGACGAAAGGCTATGACGTAACAACATATCAACCTGTCGGCGTTATCGATAACCAAGATCTTGTTCAAATATAAATCACGTCTGTTCGTAAGGGCTATAATCGACCCCTATTGTTGTTCCGACAAAATAGTTTGTGCTTCATTATCACCAGCCGGGAGAGGTCATAAATTGCCGATAATTGAATCGAACTCGTATCCGGTGCCAAAGAGTCCGATGATAACTTAAATGTTTGTATTGTCGGAGACCAATATCTTGGATTGATTCTTTAAACTTTCATATTATGAGACTAAACACATTGCTTCATGTGTGACAATAGCTTAGGTAACTCTTTTTACATTGTAGTCCGAAATTTATCCGCAGGGCATCGGCTGCACGACCTTGTCAACATATTTGTTAAAACCTGTTCTTGTCCTCCCGAAGTTGACCAGCTGGTCTTTATCTACCATGTTGATCTTTCTGGTGATAATTGATTTGAAAGTTGCGAGATGATTTCATCAAAGATTACAATTACTCTTCTGCCTTTATATTCTTAAATTTGTGATTTTTTAAACACGTACTAGAATAAACAGCTTTTAGATAACAGGTACTTTACCTATAATTGTTTGTATGTGTTATAATAAAACAATTATCATTACGGATGAGGCATCGTTACTTTATGACCGATTCGTCCGGTTCCGTAACTTAGAATGATCTGATACGTAATAGCTTACTTGGACGGGGTGTATTGTTTAAACCTGTTTTGACAGCCCAGAATGACACAGTCCTTTCCCTTTTCTACATGTTGTGCAAAAACATGGCTACAATGATCACTTACTCATCTCAGTAATCAATTGTGCGCAGTAAATCTTGACCATTTGTTGACCCCAGGGGTCAATCTTTTCTTTGTCATATGACTGTTTGATTTCAATGATAATGATTTAGGATAGATACATATCACTGATTTATCTGTAGATCAACAGGCTTAGAGGTAGGCCCCACAGCACAGTTGGTCAGTTTCCGCGGTTACGACACGGACTTTTTAGCGTAGACACTCGGACTCCGGGTGACCGACATGGGAAATCGTGCTTGTGTCGGCATTTATTAATTCAAAAGACCAATGGAAAAACCATGTTTCCCCATTTTGTTCATAGTATTAATTATAGTTTAAAACTGTCATAGAAGGACGTAGAAACCAGACTTTTTAAAGAAGATTGTTGGAGATATTTTACCAAACAATTAAAGTTTGTCAGTCAGTTTTGTCAAATTTATGCTTTAGATTACTTTAATTATTTTGGGGAACTGTATTAATAATTAGCTAAGGAACTGACACGTAACAATTTAATAGTAATATATTTCATACGAGAAGTGCTAAGTCTGTGTCAAATGTGTACACTGTGGCGGCAGCATCATTTAAACGGATTTCTCAGTACGATTCCTGGTTTGGATCAGCATATAGTCCAATGGACTTGGTTTATCTGTCTGTGACCGATGGTCAAGCAATATTCCCTAATGGTCAATTCTTGTTCAGCAGTCAGCACGCTTATTTAAACTAAAACCCGTAATTTTTGCACGATAGCTAACACGCCATACTGGACACGCTCCTGTTATTGACGATGGTTTTTGTTAACATTGGCTTAACGTTGTTGAGCGATGGGCTGAAAAAGCGAATTTCTAAAATGCACAAAACCCGACATTCTGATATCTGGTACGTATTGGAGTGATTACGGAAGGAACTGACCACTAAGGAGCGTGCTGGCAAACGGTTGGGAAACGATGCAGGCTGTATTTCTTTACTTCTAACTGCCGTTGTTTCACCCAGCACTTTTGTCATATTTGATAGGAAATGCGAGAGAATGACAATGTATTCTCATGATTTGTATTATTGACATATTTTGTTGACCTTACACCCTATGTTGGCCAGAAACGGTTGTTTAGCTCTCTGACACTTTCGCGTGGCAGACGGAAGACAGAAGCGACGCGACATCAAACGATAACCTACGGACGTCGGACCACTTGAGATCAATTGGCCAACCTTTCTCGAGAATACTTGTTTTTTGAGTGATCTGTCATTCACCCATATCAGTTCACACGCTTCTCTCAGTGGATTGCAATATGGGAGTTACAACTTAGATGGCACTGTTTATTTTATCAGTTAAGTGTACACCCTTTCACCCCATCTCGAGACCCGCAGAGAAAACACAAAACAGTTCAAGTATCGGGGACTTAATTAAGTAAAATCGATATGACGTGTACATAATATACTCAATTCACTGGCAGGCGACATTTTGTGTCGGTTAGATTAGATGGAGACCGAGCACCGAGAATCTATTACGGACCAGATAAGGCGAGAGAGAATTACCGCGAATATCTCTTGTGCTGTCGCATCGGGCGGTTGTCGCGATGCTGGTCATATGAAATGGGTAAAAGGTGGGAAATAAAATAGGAAACGATTTCTGGATACAAAGCGGCAAATCTATTAACCTGAGTATATCTATCGTAATCATACAACGGGTGTGTTATGTAATGAGAAAGAGCAGGCGAATGTGTTACCATAACTGGCTCGGTGTTTTTGTTATCTCTTAAAATCCGATGACGAATAAGGTTTTTGTTGGATTTGATTGTGATATCTCGGAGTGGCACGAATACCATTTTTTCTAAGTGTGGTGTACAGATTAAATGGCCATGTTATCCTTGATATCTCACTCGCTTCATCACTAATAAAAGGGAATGGGTCCGATTAGAGAAAAAATAATGCATTTTGGTAGAACTCTACCTTGTTATCAATTTGTGTTAGTCCATTGCGGGTATTGGTTACGGTGATTCAATTAGAAAAGCCGAACCCTAACGTAGCCAACAGAGGGACATAGAATAGAAAACCAGACGACAGTGCAAGATTTAGCCGTCAACTTGCTGGTCAAAGTAGTATGGTTTGAAGATTGATTCAGTGTTTAAACTGATCAAAGTATAACAATACCGAATGAAATAATTAATTGATAAAACTTTCGTGTTAAGATAACATCATTGCGGTGGTCAGTTGTCACTCCGGCCACGGATTTAGATCCACTGCTTCCGCCTCATCCTCTAAAACTGACCACCACGACGAAGTCGTTTCTTGGTCAAAGATCGCAGACTGCTATTCTAAATGAGACTATATTTTAATAAATTACTCACACATGCACACACATATATATATATATATCAACTTGTCGATCGTGACGAAGGAACCATTGTACGATAATTCAGTTCACAGCCTTCCACACAAGGAAACCTGTTGAAATGTCTTGATATACTGAAAAAAATATGAAAATGATATAAGTATTGAGTTGCTCATGATAATTAGCAATAGAATTTTATAACAATTTTACAGTGGAAAATAACAATAAATAAAATTTCAATCTAAAATGTCTTGTCAATTTGTCGAAACACGTTGATAGGTTGGTCCAGTGATGTTTGAAGTACGTTCATGTCATTTCATTATTTTACAGGAGACTGGATAGAAATCGACTTTCTGCAATTCCAGGACATTTGTTCAGTACGATGCCCAACCTGCAGAGATTGTAAGTACTAGATATTTCAACACACTACTCAGTTTATCTGGCAATAAGCCCATGTCTGGTAATAAGCCCCCAACAGCTATTGCTGTTAAGTAGAATTAACAATAGATTCTATTTACTTTGTCTTGTAATAAAACCCACCCAGAGAGATAATATTCTGGCCTTCAGGCTTACTGAGGATAAATATAGTTTTAATATCTTTTTTCTTTAATTCAAAGACAATGCAAATGTCCATAGAAAACTTGGAAATGATTTTTGTTTGAATACTTTACAGGCAGATTTTCTATTTTGGCCTTAAACACCTGGCACACCACTTTAGTGTGCCAAAAAAAGAGCACATTTTAACAGTAGTCTAAAGATAAAATATACTTGTGTAAAGTATAGCCCTGTTACATGGCTCTAAGAGTTTCTCACAAGTGGTAGTGTGAGCAGTCGGCTCACAAATAACTTGTGAAGTTTTCATTCACCTTTAATTCTACACACTATCAATTACTGATATATACAGGTGTTAGCCCAAATGTTATATTCACAACCCTATCACCTGCTAATGAATGTTTTCATTCATTAATTTAAATATTTATATACTGCACTGTTTCCATTCACCTGCTGAGCTGATAAAATACTGTGGTATAGTGTACAAGACTGTATGAACAGAGATATCAGCAGGCTGGGACTATAATAAGTTTACACATATTTAGTCAATTATCTACATAAAATTGTATTGCTGATAGTATAAAACGGTTTTAAACAAACTGTACTGTACATTGTAAAATTTGTATGTAAATTCTCATATAAAACGGAACAAGTGTTGATACGTCTTGCATGAATCTGTCACCTGTTGTATATGAAACTGTTATGAACATTGGTGCTTTCAGTGTACAGAAGAGAAAAAATATACCAAAATTTTAGGAAGCTGTGCAGTATCTGTATATAAAGATATATATATGTAGATATTATATCACTGTTTCTACATATTTCAAATAAGAAATTATTTTGACAAATTGAAATATTCCACTGTTTATATGATAGGCCCTATGGTGACTAACAACATTAATGTGTCATAGTTTAGCATAAGCATGAGTGATTCTTTTATTGTTATTGAAACTGCGTTTCTCTGTATCAAAGTTAGGTCTTTAGATGTGGTTAATGTTTCCTCATAGGAAGAATGCATTGGACATACTTTGTATTTACGATATATCATTGTATGTTTTGGTAATATCTACTTAAATCTCCATTGTCATTAAAATCTCATCATCTGATTTCAAATGTACCCAGAAAGTCAAATACTAAATATTGAATCTACACAACACTTGTTGATCGGAATGGACTTTACCTGATGGGAGTGTGATTGTCTTCACTTCAAATACTTGTCAGCTTAAAAACACAATTTTTTATTTATTTTTTTTCAGTATATTTCTGAGTTTGTCACAAGATCTAGATTCATATTGAAACATCTATATATCTAAATTTTTTTTTAGTATTCTTATCCATATTTTCAAGTTAGAAATATATGAAAATTTTATTTTTTCTTCTTCGATGAATGATGAAGCTAACCAGTATATATAGATAGTGATGTCCAGGTGCTCAGATCCGTTTTCAATATTCCCGGTTGACATGAATTGGTTCGCCACAAGCTTGTGTACCAAATCCTACATTTGAGATTGAAGTCATGCCTTTTTTGTGTTATCAATGCGAGGACTCTTTTTAACTGGCGAGCAAACCCGTAAAAGAGTAATTTGAAAATCGTATAGGGCTGATTGTTGTACGTATCTACACAAAAGGGTTAGAAATCTCATCCCGTATTATTTGTAACAGACTAGCACAATTTGAATACTGTACAAGTCACAATTTCCTCGCTGTTGAATTGACAGTCATATTTTTACGGCTGTGATGGGTCGATCTGCTTTGAGAAGCCGCTGTAATGCACGAAAGAGATCTCAGATATAATATAAAAAACGGTTCTGGTATCGATCAATTATATCCGTGACTGAGCATTTGACCCAGGTACTTAATTTTGATGACTTGGTTGAATATTGTGTAACTTCAATTGTTAACATTTCATTTAAGATTCAAATTAAAGGCTAAATTTTGTTTACTGTAACTCAGAAAGCTGAAATTACATGTGTATATACTGTGAAATGGTAGCAAGTCAATGTTTTCGAAAAATGTCTTAAACTTTGATTATTTTACATTACAATGTACAACACACCAGATTTAGCTGTATGTCAAGTACGAATGTTTGAAAATATTTATAGAATATTTTCCATGTGAGGTAATCAAATTACCTATTTCTAACGAGATTGTGTAAGATTACAAAATAAAATTGATAAAACTGGTTTAGATTTCTTGGGAACATTCTATAATGAAATCTGTTTTGAAGTAAAATTTCCACACAAACATCAAACTTCTGATAGGAAGCATTAATAAGTTCCATGTGACTGCGGGAAATATTGCAGCTATATACCAATCAGAGTACATCGCTACAAACACAGGCCAAAAAAACAATTAAGTTTGGTTCTACATTCGTGTCTCTGAAAATGTAACCAGCCAATTATGAAAAGTTTGACAGAACGATTTCACACATATAAAGTAAGGACAGTCTTTCAGTCTTTTACATTTCACATTTTAATAACAATAGCGAAACATTTCGGGTTGTATGGTAGTGAAAATCAAAAAACAAATAATTGTATTTTTTTGGCCTCATATCTTCATCAGTATGAAATCCTTTTCTGTTTGCCCTGTTATGAAGTCAGGATCTGTAACACAATATTGGTTTGTGTAACGGAGTGCCATTGCTAATGACCTTTGAAGATAGCTGAGATGCTGATTGCTTAGGGGTCTGTTTGAATACCCAGTATTATCCTTTTTCTGACTTGACTTCTTATGCAACTGTATACTAGATAAAGGGCATATACAACAATATCAACTGTAGATTTGCCATCAAGCAGATATTGAAGCATAGTGTGCTTAAGCGTAAAATATAAATTATAACTTCCAAGTGAAACACTTTGCGTAAGTCATTTGATTTTTTAAAAGAAGAAATTAAAAAAAAATTTTGTTTAGGTGTTGGTCTAAATTTATTGATGTTGCATCAATAAAATCAACTAAACAATTGATCAACTAAATTTAAAAAGTAAATATCAGTTTATTGTTTCAGGTTGACTAATCTTACCTATATCTGATGCCTTGAATTGGAATTAAATTGTGAAACAGGAGTTTTTCAGGATCAGATTGTGATCATGATCCAAACTTTATTCAGAAAACACATTTCCTATCGTATCTAAATGGTCTGAAATGTTGTTTTAATTGACTTAAGATCTACAAGGGGTTTATATATGTGCACTCAAGCAATCTAGTAATTGAATATAAATTTGGTATGAAATTTCTGAAAATCTATATTTCACAAAATTTTTAATACTATCTACAATCTTACTACTGCTACTGGTTGCTGGCTTTTATAAGCCTTTTTATGTATTTTGCATTTTTAAAAGAAAATATTACAAACAGATACTAGGTAACAGGATTTTGGGTTGAGAATAGAAAAAAAGATTGAAGAAGATATGCATAAAAAATTGTATAATTTAAAGTTAACCCATTGTATGGTTCTTTTGCTGACAAAATTATCTGCTACAGTGATGCATGCAACTTGTGAAAATTGTTATGGTATGAACGTTTCAGAATTTGTGGAATTATTGAAATCACACACCACCTACAGCATGAAATGTAAAACTGAAAAATAGAACTAAAAGATGAAAGATCCTATATTGATTAGAACAATATGTTCTCATATATTTATTTCTCTAAATCGGAATCACATACATTGGAGCTATCAGCATATCACCCAACAGGATATTACACAAACGTCTTTATTTAAAGGCCTAAATGTTTAATATTTATTGAGTTTTAAAAGTTTAACATAGAAAGAATCTTACTGATGCCATGTTGTTGTCCAATAGATTCATTTTCATCATAAATTTTTAGCCTTAAGTAGAATAACTTGTATTCTAGAAAGCAATTATCTTAATTCAACAAAAAAGTAAAAGACTAGTGCAAAGTCATAGATATGAAAACAGTATATTTTTTAAATAAAATTTTAGCGTCAATATGTTATTTACAGTATTTACTCTGCAATAAACCCATTTCTGTTGATGGATCCAAACATCCCTATTGTTGTTCAGTAGGTGTTATTTCATTGTTCTGCATTAAGTCCATCTTCAATCTGAGTGAGGTTTCCATTTTCCCTGGGTTTTTTATTGGAAAACTACGGTAAATGAGCAATACAAGGATAGGATAGTCTCTAGACTCATTGTCCTTTCCTGGTGTTGACTGTTAAACACTATGTACTGATCAGGTGTTGTTGAGTAGGCATAGTTAAGATACCAATACTGTCATAGCCTGTGATGTATGTACCTAATACAAGACACCTCCAACCTATCCCCTGATAGCCATGTAATAATAAAATGGCATTTGGTTTTAGTCAGAGGCTATACCCACTTCAAAGAAAATGAAAGATGATTTATGAAATTAATTCGCATGATTCATTATTAATCAAGTCCAAATCATATAAAGAGTTGACGAACATGTTCCGTGTTGTACTGCGATTATACGTATATTGACATAATCTTTCTGATCCGTACCAACCGGATCGACTATTCATCAATAGCAATTCATGTAAATTTTCAAACCTCTGAGGAGTTACAAACACATCAATGATAATTAAAAATCGTCTACCTGGGAATGTGGTAACGATCGTATGTAAATGACGGAGCGTTGTAACGTCTGTAGCTTGTGTGTGTTTTTTGCAGGTGTGGTTAATGATGCAATTCATTGTATATTTATAATTTTTTATTGATATACATATTCATTTGTGTATGGAACTTTCGTAAAGACTGCACAGAAAATAATCTATTAGTGAATGTTTCTTATAAATTTTGTTGTATTAGCTTCTGTTGATAAAAAAAACTCTCTACATCTGAAATAATGGCATAGTCAGTAGTTCTATT